CTCCGATCAACCTGTAGAGAAAAGAATGGTGATCACGGTGATATAAAAATTGCATTAAACGGAGGCCGGGAAGGGCCTCATCGGAGGCAAAAACCGAGGAGGGGCGCGGCGGCGCCGCTGGCTTTCGGCCTTGTTTTCTAGCCGTTTGGCCGGGATTTTGGCTCCGATTTGGCCACTGGGAAAATCAGCGTGGAAAAACGAGTCGGGGGTATGAAATTTACCTCGATCGGCGGTCGGAAATCCCTCCGGTGCGGCGGCGGGTGGTGGCGACCGGCTTCTGGTTCGTCTTCTCCGGCGAGGGCAGGCGGCTAGGGTTTGGGGTCTGGTGTGGGGGTCTTATTTATACCATTTTGCCTTTTGATCTCAGCCGTCCATTTTGATTTAATCTGGACCGTCCGATCGCGCGCACGCGGATCGCCAACGTGGCCCGTCCCCGGTCGACGTGGTTTTGCCACGTGGCAAGTCTTGGTTGGCCAGGACTGCTGACTGGGTCTGCTGACGTGGCTGCTGACGTGGCACACACGTTTTTTTTTTTTTTCTTCTTCAATTTCCCGGGCGCTACAAAAACAATCACACAAAGACACCAATTTTTTTAACGTAGAAAACCCCTTCAATATGAAGGATAAAATCACGGGATCTCTCTTAATCTAAGTAAAAGAGCTTCACTATAAAAATTAGTGTTTACAGCATCAACAAGCAACCACTATAATCCTCAAATAAATTCTCAATAACAAATTAACTAAACAATAAGAGAAAAACAAAGGATGGAGAAATATCATCAAAGTAGATACTATTCATGTAAAACGGATGCATTCTGATTGTTCAAATCCAATCTTCACCGTTCAGACCAAAGAAAAACTTATATCAAACATACTCACCAAATTTCAGTCTCATCAGATCACAAATGACTATTCGATCGTCATATTAAATCAAACTGGTCAGTGTCGAGAAGAAAAACATAAACAGTAACTTTGAACTGACATTACTGAAAATCTAACTGTCCAAAATCGATCTGCACCGTTAAGACTGAAGTAAAATGACTCTTCTAAATACCCTCCAAATTTTAGCTTGATCCGATTAAAGATGGCCATCTGATTGTAGAAAGAATTGAAACACATTAGACGTAATTTTTCTAGCAAAAATTCTCTTTTTGTTCTCTACTTTTTGATAGCTAAAAACTTATTTTTATACTGTTCCTTAGGGTTAATCCTAATGGGCCAAAAATAAGTGGGCTCAAGAAAGATTTAAATTTTTCCATATAAGAGGGAACCCAAAAACCCAACACTTTAGTAGGGGTAGTGGTTTTCGAGATTCCTTTTGAAGGAGGGGAGGTTGTGATGTTAGGTAATTGGGGCGAGGTGGGGGAATATTGTGGGGAGAGGCAGTAGCCGGGCGATTACTAGGCCTCATGGGATAGTATTATGGAAGAGTACTCAATGGAAACTTAGAAGGGATGACATCATCAACTTTTAGGATGATGAGTGAATTGGGAAGGGTAATCTTAGGGGGCTAATTCCTAAGAGTTTATAATTCAGTCATGAGGAAGAATGTGGTGGTAGAGGAGATTTTTAGAGGGGTGGATGGGAGGAGTGGTTTGGATATTAATCTGGTTAAAAATATGAACAATTGGGAGATTGATGAATTTACAAAGTTCTTTCAAATTCTAGTTGATGTAAATCTGGAAACTTATGAGGATAAGGTTTTGTGGAAGTTCAAAAGAGATGATATCTTTATAGTTAAGTCCTTCTATAACTATTTGATCACTAGGGTGGAAGATGGTGTGAAATTTTCAGATTTGCATATTTAAAAAGTGAAGACACCACCAAGAATTGGTTTTTTTATACGAGAAGTAGGTCGGGAATGCATCCTCACTATTGACAAGCTGATGAGAAAAGGTCACATTACGGTTAATGACTGTTATTTATGTATGGAGGCTGTTGAATCATGCAACCATCTTCTCCTTTAGTGTCTGGTGACTTATAGTTTATGAGATGTAGTGTATAGTTTATCGGGTATTAATTAGGTGATCGGGAGATTCGGTGAAAAATGAACTTTGGGCTTGGAGTGGGATTGGTAAAAAAATCAAAAATTGTAAAACTCATTCCTTTAATTATTTTTTGTGTGGTGTAAAAAGATAAAAACAATAAAAAGTTTAATGATTGTGTGAGAGATATTGGAAAAATTAGAGATAAATACTTACATACTTTTAGAATTCTAATTCCGGGTCATGATGTACACGGACGACATTCCTTCGGTGTCATATACTTAATATACGTGTTCTATCTCAAACAAGAATATAAGGATTAGTGAGAAAATACTCACGAGATAAAAAAGTATTAAGAACACAAAACTAGTGAGGAATCACATGACTTAATCGATTCGAGGAAGCTTTGACGAGGATTCAAGACAACAACAAACAATTTGAAGAAAACTCAACACATACATTAATGCATGTAAAGATCATGATTTCAGTCTTGATATTCTATTGGTTTGGCAAAGTATTGGAATTATTTTTAGAGAATGGAAATCGCTCATGATGCAATTAGTCAAAAAATCATTAGTCAAGTGAATGCGCATTGTCATTAGGTGAGTTCTTTAAAGTTACAGGATCGGTTAATGATTATTTGCAGAACAAGCGAAAGACAAGCTTACAACATTGAGTAATTAACTATGAATATTCACGCAGTTTGGACAGTAGGCCTGGAAGGTATGGGAAGCGGCGAAGAAGATATGGCGGATCCTGAAGATTTGGATGAGTTTGAATCTCTTGTTGTGACCACATGCTTATAGAAATATTTCGAAATCATCTCCGAAATCCAATCTGGTGAGAGTGAAACACCTTGCTCTTCAAAATCAAACTGTAATTCGAGCAAGTAGGTTGATTGCTGCAGAACCTGTAATAAGATTCGATAATAATGGCGATGAATGTAGGTATCCAAAATGTAGGAAACCTTTTCGTTTATAATCAGACAGTGGTATTGTTGTTTCTGTGCAATTTCGACAATTTAGCTGGTACTGTAAAACCCTAATTCGTTGTAATCTCTGAAATGATCGAAGCTTTTTAAGTGTGTGTTTTGAAAATTTTCACGCAGTTGTTTTTGAAATAAAATCTTATCTTATCCGACGATTATCATTCGATTCTAAATCTAACGGTCAAAAATCCGACACCGATGTGTCAAATCCACAAAATTTAGCTTGCGAAGCCAGTAGGAACAAATCCATGGACGATGGCTTCTCTCCCAAACTCATGGCTCTCTTCTTCTTTCAACAAAAACCCTAATAATTTCCTTTTGACTAACCAACACAGGCCCGCTGTGCTTAGACGATTCAGACTTTCACTTTGTCTAAACCAATCTAATCCTCAAAAACCTTCACTACCCATTTCGGGTAACTCGACGGAAACTAAGCCTGAGACAGAGCCAGCTCCTGTGGATCCTGTGAAACTTGCTTTTCAGAGAGCTAAGGCCTACAAGAAATTCAAGCTTAAGCAAAACCCAGCTGGTAAAAATGGAGATAACGTTGGCGGACCGGGTTTAGGTAATGGGGAAGTGCTGGTTTCGGTTGAGGTTGAAATGGAGAAAGATAAAGAATACAGGAAGAATGAAGAAGTTGATGATGGTGTGGAGGATGGTGGGGAAAGTGAAACTGATAAAGGTAATATTCTTGAATCATTTTTTATTTTCCTGGTATATTGTTTGGTTTCCTGGAATGAATAGGAAATTGACAGTAAAGAAGAGTATGGAAAAGCCCTTTCTTTTTGTATAAAATCTAGAACTTCTTGGGTTCCCAGAATGGCAGAGATCTCTATCCCTTTTTATATTGACTGTTTGTTAATATAATATACTATTGGTAAACTTCCATCCATTTGGTTACAGGTTTGAAAGGAGAGGTTAAGTCGAGTCTACCAGATGAGGTTGCACCGAGAAATATCGAGAAAAAAGAAGAGCTGAAGATTTCAAGCATTGATTTCGTGGGGCTTGAGTTTGCAGATAAGAAAAAGAGCAGGGGACTGCCACCTGGACTGGTTCCATTATCAGACCCTTTTCCTGAAGGAGATTTGCCTGAGGTGGAGATCATTGTTGGAGACACAAGCAGGTTTGATGAGGCAACGACATCAACGCCTGAACAAGTCCAGGAAGATAATTTGGACATCTATAAGCCTAAGGTTTCTACATGGGGAGTTTTTCCAAGACCGAGCAACATCTCCAAGACGGTATGTGACCATTATTTCAAGATTAGACTTGGTATTTCTTTGCCCATGTTGGTGATTATGTTATTTGATTAATCTGGTTGACAGGGGAGAGTTGTTTTCATTGGTTGCCCTTAGTTGTTTTTACCAAGTTGAATGGACAGGTTAGAAAAAATTATTATCTTAGGTTACAAGAGGAAACCAAGTAATTTTGTCAAATACTAGTTGTTATGGTGCTAATATTAATGTACTGAAAGTACCATTTGGAAACAAATGGAAAAAACTGAGAAATAATTCATTTATAACTTGGAAAAAAGTCAACAATGAAACAAAAGGACTACCAGTATGCAGTTATTATGTTTTATACACTATCAACACCCTTTTTATTTTTCTATTTTTTCTGTATATCTGGTGCCTATGTAAAAGCTACATTCACTATTATGATTACTATTGGTACATTATTGAGAATTTAAGTTGATTATTAAGATTCAAATCCAGATCTTTATATTCCGTCTTTAACTTTTTCATTTAGTGAAGAATTACCTTTAATTTTCTGTGAGACTGTTTCATATTTTTTGGGTTTCTATCTATTTGTTGCCTTTCAAGGATCTGTGGAGTGCTTCCTCTGCTTTTGTTGTATAAGGTATAGGTTTTCCTTAAGCTTTATTTCAAGCTCTCTGTGTCCTTCCCAGGTTGGGATCAAAGGTGGTTGATAAAAGAAAATGCTGGCTAGTCTAAAAAAATTCTCAAGTTCTCTTGCTTTTGCAATAAGAAAAGCCACCTTTTATTCGCCTCGATCTTCTTTTACTTTATTTGTAATTGAGCTACTCGTAACATGTTTCTATTCTTCATCTATTTAGTTTGGTGGTGGGAGGGTTATCCAACCAGGTGATTCTCTAGAAACAGAAGAAGACAGAGCTGCTAAAGACAAACGAACAAGACAATTAATTGCTGAGTACAAGAAGAAGATGGGATTAAATATTGATGCAAAGCTAAAAGCGGAGTGTGAGAAGGTACTCTTAGAACAAAGGTATAATTGGTAAATAAAAGGCAAGACTACTTTAACTTAGCCTTTTTGCCTTCTCATCATCCTTATGTGAAAATACGAATATGAACTTCAGGAAATTCATAAGATAAATTTCAAATTTTATAGTAGAATTGCATTTATTAAGAATTTTATTTCTGGATGCTTGATTTTGCTGTATGTGGCATGTCTTGGAGAAAAATATTAGCATTTTACCGATTTAAGTGTTGTTTTCTGATAAAAGTTGATGCATGCTATAGGTTGAAAACATCGGACCCTTCAATTTTTTACTTGCAATACTTATTATATAGATCATCGTATCAGGAGAACTTAGAGATGATGTTATGAACTTGTTTCTTGGTAGTCCTATGGCCACTTCATCTTGGGGCTGCTTGGTTCACTATGGTGCTTCCAGACTTTAATGTCTGGTACATGCTCTGGTATCTGCTCAATATGGCATCAAGTTGAAAATTTCCGTAAACAGGGATGTCTAAGCTTGTAATTTAGAATGTCTATATAAGGGTTAAGGAGTGTTGATGAATAAAAATCTTGAAAGATTACATTTGATGAGTATACAACAGTTTCCTTTATGGCATAAAAGGGTAATAAAAGTTGGCTCCCCTGCTTGTTCCATAAGCTTGCTTTCCTTTCAGAAAAATGATTGAAATAATATTTTGTTTTATTCTAAATTTTTGGTTTTGGTTAATATTACACCTTTATTGGTGAAGAATTAAGCTCGTGGCCTCTTTTCTAAATTAAACATATGGTATTGCAGATACTGAAAGATGGTGACTCTTTGATGGGTTCTGGAAAGCTTAAAGAGGCTTTACCTTATTATCAAAAAGTAATGGATAAAATGCCTTTTCAGGTAATCTTTTAAAGATGTAATTACCTTATTATGAAAGCAAAACTTTATAGTTTTATCTGAGTGCATGGTCTAAATTTTGCCAGCCATGGGAATGCACATTTAGGTTGCAAGTTAGTCTACTTCAGGATCTGGTATATCTAACAGATTCAACTTTTTGTGTCAATATCTATTTAGTATAAGGTTACAATTGTTATATTGCTGAGCTTATGAATACTTAAGTTGCATGATACTGGCTTTAGATTCAGAGTGTAAAACAATAGATGGAAATAAGATATAAATGGAAATAAGATGATAAGGTGCACTCTGAGCTGCCTTTTGGTAAAGAGAGTTGATTTATATTATGACGTTTCTTTTTCTATCAAATTTCCTAAACCACTTACACATGCATTTGTTTGATTTTGCAGAGCGAACTTCATGGATTAGCTGCTTTACAGTGGTCTACTTGTCAAGATTCACTTAGTAGGTATAGTAGCTGATTTTCAACTTGGTGTAGAGGACTATGTTGATTAGAACATGATCTTGGACAATCTTTGAACTTCCAAGAATGGCTAATAATTTTGTCTTTTTCTGCTTGCTCAACAGTTATAGTAATTTTTTTTTCTTGCAATTGAGATAAAAGAACAAATAGCTATTGTTGGCAGGCCAGAAGATGCTAGAATTATGTATGAGAAGCTTCAGTCTCACCCAAATGCTGAAGTGAGCAAGAAAGCAAGGCAATTCATGTTCAGTTTCCGGGTAATTCTATGTAGCATTTTAAAGAAAATTTGGACTCTTCATGCAACTTCACTTTCCTATTATGAAAAACGTTAAATATTCATGAAACTATTACCCAGAAGTACTAATGATTGGTTTGTTGAGGTCATTGAGTCACAAATATGTACTAGCACTCTTTCTTTCCAGGGCACTATTAGTGTGGGATGTGATATGTTCAGAATTCTCCCTTTTGAAATATTTTCGTGCTCAGAAATCACACCACATTTCTGGCGTCTCGGGCCACATTCAAAAGACATGAACAGAACTTACATATCCAGAATTGTAATAGACTTCGGTCAATTCTGATATGATATGCAACTCGCAAAGCCATTAGCTAGAAGTACTGTGATTATCGTTCTTGAGATCATTAGACTACAAATGTACACACATCATATATCTTTCTAATAGAATTTGAAATATCATGTTTAAACATGTCCTTGGAAACATTTTGTTTTAGCATCAACTTTTTGAATTTAAGCAGTAGGCTTCAACATTGGTGCTGCTGCCGAGTAGCATTGGGTTGTCTCTTCTTTTAAGATAACAGAAAAAGAAAAGATATTTGTATGTCGCATTTAACAAACTCGCAGTAGTCAGAGGGGGGACAAAAAACTGTGCTAAATCGCAAATGTGAATGTCAATCTCGGTCATTCTTAATTCAAATGAAAGACAATATTGCATCATGTATTCTGTTCATATGAAATTACTTCCTGATAATTTGAAGGCTTTTTTCATGTTAGGCCATGGA